GTGATCTATCTGCCGTGGCCTCCCAATGTGCTGGGATTACAGGTGTGAGCCACCGCACCCAGCCAACCCATTTCATTTCTACCATGTGCCAGACACTTCCAGGAAACACATGTGCATTTTCTCACTGAGTCATACAACTAAACTCTGAGGTTTATTTTGTTTATGCATTTCAAATTGGAGGACTTTGGTGGGGCCTAATGCAAAGAGAAAGTATGGGGCCTGTGGTTCAAAAACGATTCAGAATTTCTAGTTGGTGACAAACGGGCATCAAACCACGCTGGGCTCCAGGTGACGGTACAGAAGCGTGAAGGAAATGCATCACCTGCTGAGATTCCCCACATAGCAAGTGACAGGGTGAGGGCCGGAGCTCACATTGACCCATTTCCAAAGCCAGTAGAGCCAGCAGAGAAGGACGCCGGAGAAGACGTCTACATTCCCGTTCACTCACCGATGGCCTTCCACAGGTCCAGGATCTCCAAGGCAGCCTCCCTCTCCTGGTCTTGGTCACCCATCTGGGGAAGGTGGAGGACTGGATGGGGGTGGAGAGAGCAAGAGCAGGTGGTCGGTGAAGTAGAACTGAAAAAACACATCATCCAGCGATTCCACAGCACGGCTCACTGGACGAGACGCCTCCACCAGGGCCGTAGGACAGGGTGCCTGTTGACTGTTCCTACCTGCCCGCGGGGAAATGGTGCGGCTGAGGGCTACGCTGCTGCTAACGGCAGCACCGGGTTTGAACCCACCTCTGCCTGGCTCCACATCTCACGTTCCTTCTGCTCTGCCGCACTGTCTCTGGAGCCAGGGTTTCCCTGCATGAAGCTCAAGCTGAAACCTACCTTGAGCACCACAGGAACCTCGGTATTTTACGGATTTAATGCTCACTAGTCGGCACGTGGCCATGGTCACACCTAGTGCCCGGGGAAGATGCAAGTGGGGAGATGGGGAGAGACGAATGGAGGAAAAGAGAAAAAAAGAATAGCAGCTAATCGTTACACGGTATCTGCTACACACCAGCTGTTGTTCTATTAATAACTCAATCCTCGAAACGCTCTAGGATGCAAGGGCCATCATTATACCACCGTCACAGATGGGAAACTGAGGCACAGAGAGATCAAGGCTGCAGCTGGGCGCAGTGGCTCATGCCTGTAATCCCAGCACTTTGGGAGGCCAAGGTGGGCAGATCACAAGGTCAGGAGTTTGAGACCAGCCTGACCAACATGATGAAACCTCCATCTCTACTAAAGATACAAAAAACAATTAGCCAGGCGTGGGTTGGCAGACACCTGTAATCCCACCTACTTAGGAGGCTGAGGGAGGAGAACTGCTT